GGTTCGGAGCCAGTCTGATCTGATCAGTGGGTCACTTATTTAAAACATACTGGTCGGTGATTTGGACTAACACATGAAGGATCTACTGGAAAATTCTACCCGAGTAATATGTTATTTGACTGATACAAAAGTATAACTTGCGTGTTGAAGAAACCGGTGACTCCTGGCAACTCCTACAGTGACGAATGGTCGAGCCTCAACCCTTGTTTATCAATCGCTGTATCTAGCTTTTCTAGTTTTTCTTTTTGGCCTCCACCAAAATAAATGCTATATTATCACTATAGTTGACTGGTGGAAATTTTGGAGGAGGGACGCTTTTTCTGTAGTAATAATTGCTTCTCGTTGTGTATATTGCGACCGCTGGTAACTACAGGTTATATGAAATTCATAGTAACGTCTGGTATTTCAAGAAAAGGAAACTAATGAAAGTCACTCCACTCCACTGGTTAGTTGCTACTACAACACTGTATTCTGCTATTCACTGGTATCACTAGATTATATGCGAGTACACTAGCAGGCCAGGAAGATTATTAAAAACAGCTTACCTGTGGTAAGTTTCTGGCGACTTCTGGCACCTGCCTCTATAGGCTTATCACTTCATTTACAAATTCACCTGTTTTCAAATGACACTTTAGCCTTTATCATCTATATACTAGGGAGCCACTGTAGTATACACTATACACTATGTATACACAATGTTATCAGGGAGACTTTCTTTCCTCTGACAAAGAAAAGTTCTATTATTATTATTTTGCACACGGAACACAGGCCTATGATTCCCCTCTGGTAGTAAACTCTGCTGGGTACTGCACACTAATTCTCCTTTTCTGACTCAGTATATAATGTTTTCCGCCCAAGATTGGTTCCAGGCGCTAGAGGGATGTATCGTATAGGATTGATGACACAAATTAAAGTTCTAGCACGTAAGAGCGACCGTGAAAACACGAGAAAACCCGGAGCACAACGAGGCACGCTGACACACACACACACGCACACGCATCCTAATGCTAATGTTTTAGTAATTTTGTGGTTTCCAGTGTTACGTTCTATTGTGTCGGTGACGGAGATTAGCGAGGCTTTAAATAACAAAAAAAAAGTTACAATACCGTGACTGGAACGATACACAAATAACCCGCACATAGAAGAGAGGAGCTTACGACGACGTTTCGGTCCGACTTGGACCATTTACAAAGTCACACTAATCATAAGTGGAGCAGGACGGCTACATATAGGCAGGAAGAGGTAGTGGTGGTGGTGGTAGTAGTAGTAGTAGTAGTGGTGATGGCTGTAGTAGTAGTAGTAGTAGTAGTAGTAGTAGTAGTAGTGGTAGTAGTGGGGAACTAAGGAGGAGGAGCCAGTCAAATATAAAGAAAGGGGAGCACTGCAAGGGAGCTAGGTGCCCACAGAGGGAGAGCAAGTGCACAGAGGTGGGGGGAAGGGGGAAGTGATGAAAAATAATGAAGGGACAGAAACACGCGACAGAAGAAAGACAAAAAAGGAAAGGGGAAAAAGGGGAAAGGGGAAAAGAAAAAAAAATAGGAAACAGGTTAAGCACGGGTTTTCTAAAGTTTGGGCATTTTACAATGTAGTGGAAGGAAGGCTCTACAAGACAAGCCAGGCAAAGTTTTCATACAAGGAAAGTTGTTTTTTAAGAGAGGATTCAATAAGACGGCGACTGTTGAAGTTGGAAGTAGGAAGACATTTTAGCAAAAGACCTCAAAAGGAGGCTGTGATCTCTGACGTGACAGAAAAGACATTTTTATGTCGGAAACCCAAACACTTTTTTTGTGCCCCCTAAGTCTGCAGAAAGAGATGGGCCAGTTTCTCCAAAGAAATGAAGAGGACGAGGAGAAAGAAATAGAGTAAAACCCCGGAAACATCTGTAGAGGGAGGGGGGGTATGAACGAGTTTAGTGCGAAAGGTTAGTCTGGCGGAAAGTAAGATTGAGCTAAGGGAGGAGGAAATTGTTGAGATTAAAAGACCGGAAAAGTAGGGAAGGCAGAGGACAGAAGATTCCCAGGAGTAGAATTTTGGGAGAGAAAAAATTTAACTTTTTACCCTCGTAGAAGGCAGAGTCAAAAAAGGGGAAGGGTACCAAGACGGAAAACGAATTTTTAAGGGGGGAAATTTTCTGCTGGAAGAACTGGGGATCACAATGCGGGGGGGCCCAGGGAGTAAAAAGGATAAGAATACTTTTTTTGACAGGGGAACTGATAGGAAAAGTAGGAATTTTAAAAGGCCACGTGCAATTTTTTTCGGAAAAAGGGAAAAGGAAAAAACCCTGTACTGAGGGGGAAACATGGCCCAATCAAGGAAAGGAAGCAAGGAATTAAAATTCCCTTTAAAGCAAAAAATTAAAGGAGAGGGGCAAGATTTTTTAAGAGCTTCAAAAAAAGGGTTTGGGAAGAGATTGACGCCCAGGGGTCACAAAAGCAAAGATGTCTCTACATGGGCAGGGGGCCAGAGTGAAGGTTGCACATCGAGGGTGGGAAGGAAACATCCTCGAAGTTTTCCAAATGTAAACTTTAGAAAGGGACGGGAGAGAGAGGAAAAGCCCATGCGACACCAAAAGGGTTTTGGGAAAATTTAATTTTTCCCCTTGGGAAGGGAAAAAAGGAAAAGAGCCACACAGGGGCGGAAAGATCAAATAACTTCTGGGTTTATAGGAGAGGGAAAACCCCTTTAAAGGGGCCCTTTTAACCCTCAAAGGGAAAATTCAAGAGGGACATTGGAAGGGGGCCCAAAAACGTCAAGCCCTAACATCTTACAGGAGGGGAGAGAGCGAACCCTTCAATGAAGTCTTGAGAGGGGACGGGGTGGACAGGAGAAAAAGTCCCAAAGAAAGGAGTGGGGGTTTTTGGGGGCCCAAACCCAAGAAGCAAGGAATAAGAGACAAACCCTCTAGAGGATAAACGTTTTAAGAGAAAATTTTAGAAAGGATTTAATTTTAAATGATTTTTGCAAATTTTGACCATTTTTAAAACAATTCGCCGACATAAATACACACACACACACACACACACACACACACACACACACACCACAACACACACACACAACCAAAACACACACAAAAAACCACACACACACCCCCCAACACACACATTATATAATATATAATATATTTATATAAAAATTATATATTAAAATATATTTTAATATATATAAAAAATAAATATATAATATATATAATATATTAAAAACACGGCCGATTCCCCCCAAAGGCGGGGGTGGCCCGAAAAAAAAAAACCTTTCGCCCCTCAATTTACTCCATCACTGGCTTGCCAGAAGGGTGCCTTTTCACTACAGTTTTTTTAAAATGCCAAAAATTAACAACCCCCCCTTCAGAGTGGGAAGGGGGACTGTAAACCCCCCATCTCCCCAAATCAATCCGGCCTGGGCCGGGTTTTCCCCGAAACCCTTCATAAATGTTACTTTGGGCCACTATAAATAAATAAAATAAAATAATATTATATATATATAATATAAAATATATATATTTTATAAAATATATAAATATATATATATTATAAAATTTTATATAAATATATATAATATATAATAAATATATAAATATATTATATAAATATATATTAAATAATTTTATACATATAAATAAAAATATATATATAAAAATTAAAATAATAAATATAAATTTTATATATAATATTAAAGATATATATAAATTTTTATTTATAAAATAAAATATATATATATATATATATAAATAAATTAAATATAATAAATATATATATTATATAACAGTGGAAACCCCCAAATATCGAACTTTTTTCAGTCCAGAAGGCTTTCGAGTGCCTTTACCGAATGAATTTATTCCCCTCCCGGGAAAAAAAATTAATTAGTCCATTTTCCAACCCTCAAAAAAAACCTTATAAAAGCACTTACAAAAAAACACTTAGCTTTAAAGGGTTGTGTTGGGGGTAGTTTGATTTTTGAGGTTCCCCCGTAATATATTTAAAAATAAAATTAATATATATATATATATATATATATATATATAAATAAACTATAAATATAAAATAAAATATTATAAAAATATGGGCAATAAGAAACACAGTAAACACTCTTTTATGGGGGGTGAAGCTTGGGGTTTGAATGCACAAAAGGGGGAGGTGGCTGAGGGAGTGGAGTGTCCTGTCTAAGGGGAAAGTTTTGGTGTAAATATTAGCAAAAAATTCCGGATTTTGGAAATTAAAGGGGAAAGGGGCGGAGTTAATAAAAGATTAAATCAGAGGGCAGAAAGGGGTTGTTGAGTGGGGTTTTGGGCATTTAAAAGAATGGATCAAAGTAGAATGACATGGAGAACTTATAAATCTGTAGGGGAAGGAAGGCGGGTAGAGGTCGTCCTTGAAAAGGCTGGAGGGAGGGGGTAAAGGAGGTTTTGTGGGCGAGGGGCTTGGACTTCCAGCAAGCGTGCGTGAGCGTGTTAGATAGGAGTGAATGGAGACGAATGGTATTTGGGACCTGACGATCTGTTGGAGTGTGAGCAGGGTAATATTTAGTGAAGGGATTCAGGGAAACCGGTTATTTTCATATAGTCGGACTTGAGTCCTGGAAATGGGTAGTAGAATGCCTGCACTCTAAAGGCATATTAAACGGATATTAGCAGTTTGGAGGGATATGTTGTGTATCTTTATAGGTATATGCTTCTAAACTGTTGTGTTCTGAGCACCTCTGCAAAAACAGTGATTATGTGTGAGTGTGGTGAAAGTGTTGAATGATGACGAAAGTATTTTCTTTTTGAGGATTTTCTTTCTTTTTGGGTCACCCTGCCTCGGTGGGAGACGGCCTACTTGTTATATTAATATATATATATATATATATATATAATATATATATATATATATATATATATATATATATATATATATATATATATATATATATATATATATATATCAGTAATAACAATAATAATAACTGCTTGAAGATTACCACCTTCTGTTTAATATGTTGATGCAGTCATAGCAAAGTCTCACCTGTGACGGGGTCCTCGTTGATTCCATACAATGGGGCAAAGAATCTGGAGTAGGCATGATGCTGGTGGTTGGCATCCCCTGCGACACACACCATCACACAATGTGCCAGAGACCCGTCGTGAGCTGTCTTCATATCATTGAAATTTGGTTCAATGGCTTCCAATTCCCTCCTTGAAAAATGACAAATGTTCGAAATTATCATACAATAATGAGGGAGCCATACAAGAAACATATACAACACTTGGTGTATGAGTAATAAAGATAACTAAGTCTTGTAGATGTGTCATAGTCAACATTCATCATCTACCACTGTTTATGCAATTTATTAATATTATTATTATTATTTATATGGTACCATGTGAGAAAGAGCGAGAAAATAATTAAATTTTAACACCTCTCACTGATAAATATTTACAAGATGATTAAGTATTTTTTTCACAGTTCCAAATTACTAGAAATTTTTACTAAATATTTTAAAGTAGTGAATAAATACGAGACAGTGAATAAATAAGACGTTTCATTAGAAAATTAATGTTTACTTGAAAAACACATGGCAATGATATGATAGATAAATGATTTAATAAGAGATTTCACTACCTTTTGCTTTAATAAAAATTGCTACATGTTTGGACATAGAATCCACCAGTGTTAAACACATTTTGGCAAGTTCTTCGTAGTGGTTCCAGGTCTTAATAACAGCAGCAATTAGCTTCTCCATAGTTAAACAGTCCTTTTTCGCGATCCTGCATTGGCTATTGCCCAAAGATTCTCAACTGGGTTGAGGTCAGAAGAGTTTCCAGGCCAATTTAGAATGTTTAGCCCACTCTCTTCAAAGAATGTCAGCATTTTTCTGTAGGAAGTAAATGAGTTGCCAGGATTGCCTTGTATTTGTGACTGTTCATCGTTCCCTCAGTAAGAAGCCGTCCAGTGTTTTAGCAGTAAAACTACTCCAAAACATCTTCTTGGGTGTTTCGGCACTTGTTGAATAACGTGTCCATTCTGAAGAGGTTCGCCTTTGCTCCGTCTCACTACCACTGATCTGTACCTGTGTTCTTTAAAATGCTCTACGACTGAAAATGTAACTTTCCTCCATTAATCTGTCGTCCATCCCTTATGACCAAGTGCTCAATGTAGCCTTTTTTTTTTTCTTTATAGAAGAAGTCAATAATAGTTTCTTTGCAGGCTTTCAGGCACTTATGCCAACTTCAAGAAGCCGTCGTCGAGCAGTTGAAGAATAAACATTTTCGCTAGCTGAAGCAGTATATATTTGTATATCTTTGCTGATTTTTTTTTTGGGGGGGGGGATCCTTCACACTATTTGCTGTGATAACCTTGTCATCATGAGGTGTTGTATTGTGTATTTTTCCACATCTTCCTCAACGCAGTGCTCCCTAATCACCAGTGACGTCATCTCTCTTCAGAATCCAATGAACAGTTGACTTTGCTAGGCTCAAATTTTGGGCGATCTGATATTCAAATCATCATGTTTTTAAGAGCTACAATACTTGCACATTTCCTAGGTGTAACATCTATCATTAATTTCAACAGTAATTATGAAATGAAGGGAAGAATTTGGCGATACCACATTCACTCCCTGAGCAGACTTGGAGGAATAGCCTTACTAAACAACAGCAATTATAACACTGATAAGAGTCGTACAGTAACACCACAGCTGAATGGTTGTCAGAAGTCAGTAGCAAACTCACAGGAAAAGTAAATAACCCAAACTACGTTAATTAAGATGGAGATTAAGACTTATTTTCAGATAATCACAAAATTTACTCCCAGTTCCAATTAATTTGTCCTCTACAGTAATTTTACATAAAGTAAATAATTTACATATGTTCCTCTGTAATCTTTTCTTTATTTTCGACTATCATCCACAGGACTGGTATGAGGTGCATAACGAAGTTATTAAATCATCAAAGTAGTTGTAAGATTAATGTTGAACCTCACATCTAGTTCATTATTTTTTTTATAAATAATGTTCAAATAACTATGAGACTGATATTCAAATTAACCAATTAATGATGATGAACATTATTAAAAATAAATTTTTCTTACGCTACTAACAGTTTTTAATATGCATGACCAGTATATGTTGCAAATGCCAGCAAAAGGCAATTGTTAGCACCGACCTGGAATAAGAGTGATGAAGGCACACAAGGAGGTACTTGAGTGTGTGAGAGATGAGGACAGTATGGAGTCTGAGGCCTCCACTAGCCACCTGCACCAGGGGTGCCAGCTGCTTCTCCTGCTCTGGAGTTAGTGACACCGGAGGGTTGCTGGGAAAATCCATAACAATATTGCTTCCTTCCTTCCTTACCACTAACACGCCACTTAAAGTTTCAAATTCTAGCTGGCTGCTCGGGTTACCTACAGATTTTACAT